TGACACTATTGTAAAAAATTGCAAAAAATTCAAATTCCACGCCTTTAAACAACGAAAAAATTTAAGAATACTGAAAAATAAGTAAAATAAAACAAAATAAATTTAACTTACTTTGAGATCGTAGTTTGGAACGCAGGAAAATTCATCAAAAACTGTCCCAAAACCTTGTAATTTTGGCTAAATTGCCCAAAATAGACATAAAATGGTGTGTCTAGAGGGCGCCTGAGTCGAGTGGAGGTAACCAAAGGCCCATTTTTGGTCATAATAGTGAACCCCCGAACCAGATGATTTTGTACATCTTTTTTGAAAATCTGGTGTAAAAGTGCAATAAATTCAACGTCAAGTTTCGAATTGACTTGATTCAAAAGTTGCACAACGGCTTCTTGACTCCTCCCACTGACACACACAAGTCGTGGCAAATCATCATCGGGTAATCCCCCATTTCGTTTAATTTTCCCAAATCTTCTAACAAGTGCATGACAATTATTACCACCAAACCCAAAATTGTTAATCCCAATAATCGCTTCATTGCCTTCTAGTTCAGTAATTTCGGTCACAGCCTTCATGCGATTTTTCTCAAACCCCACCATGCCTTCTTTGATGCGTTTCAAGTTGATATTTGGGCTAATTAGCCCCGTTTCCATGGCCAACAAGACCTTAATTAGGGAGCAAAGTCCTGAGGCCGGTTCTGTGTGCCCAATACTGGACTTCACCGAGCCAACTAGTAGTGTTTTGTTTCGGGTTTTGGCCAAAGCCGCGTCGATGGCCTCGACTTCCTGGGGATCCCCGACTTGGGTGCCCGTTCCATGGGCTTCTAGATAGCTCAGTTGGTTGGGGTGGATGTTGCTCTCGGCGTAGATTTCCCTCATGAGGAGTTTTTGGGCTTGAGTCGAGGGGAAGGTGATTCCTTGCTCTTTGAAACCGTCGGAGTTGATTTTGGCGTTGATTATTTGGGCGTAAATTCGGCGGGAGTTTTTCGATTTTTGGAGGAAAACGCAAGCTATGGTCTCGCCACGGACGTAGCCGCTGGCGTCTTGGTCGAAGACGCGGCATTTGCCCTCGCTGCTCAACACTCCCAAGCTGGGGAAGAATTTTTGAAAAAAAAATTAAGTGATTTTTTTATAAAAGAAAAATGTTAGCATGTAATAAGGGAGATATTTAAAGAATAAGAAAGCAGAAAAAGAAAAAAAGCAGAAGGAATGTGGACTTTTCAAAATTTTTTATTGAAAAACAACTTCAAAATCCTGAAAAAATGAAATAAAATTTCATTAATTTAAGAAAAAAACTGAAGACAAAAGACACTACAACTAAAAAAATATTTTAAAAGAAAAAAAAATAAAATGTAAAAAAACGAGATTTTTTAAAAATAGAACAATAAAGAAAGAAAAAATGTAAGCATGTAAAAAAAAAGGTATTTAGAGAAGAAATAATAAAAAAATGAGGACACTAAAGAAAGCAGGAAAAAACGATGGAAATAAAAAAACTACAAAAAATTCAAAAAACTATGACAACAAAGAACGTATTTCAAAATGATTTTCACCTAGACGCCTATGGAATTTTATATTTATATTTAGAGAAAAAGAAATGAAAAAACGATGAAAATGTGGACTTTTCAAAATTTTTTATTGGAAAACAACTTTAAAATCCTGGAAAAATAAAATAAAAAAAAGAAATTAAAACGAAAATGTAAGCATGTAACATGGAAGGTATTTAAGAGAAAAACTGAAGACGAAAGACACTAAAAAAATATTTTAAAAGAAAAAAAAAATAAAATGTAAAAAAACGAGATTTTTTAAAAATAGAACAATAAAGAAAGAAAAGATGTAAGCATGTAAAAAAAAGGTATTTAGAGAAGAAATAATAAAAAATGAGGACACTAAAGAAAGCAGGAAAATGACAACAAAGAACGTATTTCAAAATGATTTTCATCTAGACGCCTATGGAATTTTATATTTATATTTAGAGAAAAAGAAATGAAAAAACGATGAAAATGTGGACTTTTCAAAATTTTTTATTGGAAAACAACTTTAAAATCCTGGAAAAATAAAATAAAAAAAGAAATTAAAACGAAAATGTAAGCATGTAACATGGAAGGTATTTAAGGGAAAAACTGAAGACGAAAGACACTAAAAAAATATTTTAAAAGAAAAAAAAGGAAAAGTAAAAAAACAAGAGATTTTTTTAAATAAAACAATAAAAAAAGAAAAATGCAAGCATGTAAAAAAGGTATTCAGAGAAGAAATAATAAATAAAATGAGGACACTAAAGAAAGCAGGAAAAAACGATAGAAATAAAAAAACTACAAAAAATTCAAAAAAATGTAAGCATATTATGACAAAAGAGAACGTATTTCAAAATGATCTTCATCAAGACGCCTATGGAATTTTATATTTATATTTAGAGAAGAAGAAATGAAAGAACTTGAAAAAAGTAGAAGAAAAAACAGAAAAAAATATGGAAATGAAAAACTACAAAAAATACAAAAAAATGTAAGCAAACTGAAGAAAATAGAAGAAAAAAGGATACAATTTTGGACTTACCGAAGCTGAAAGAAACATTATTTTGAAATAAGAAAAAAATTAAAAAGTGGATTTTTAAAATAAAACAAAAAAAGGAAAAATGAAGTACTTAGGTATGTAATAAAGAAGAAATAAAAGAATTAAAGACAAACTGAAGAAAGCAGAAGATAAAACGATGAAAATGTCAGATTACACGACCTGGAAAAAAATTTTGAAGAAAAAAAAATAACTAAAAATAAATAGATTTTTTTATTAAAATTAAATAAGGGACAAAAATTAAAAAATTGAAGACAAACTGAAGAAAATAGAAAAAAGGATAAAAATTTGGACTCATTGAAGCTGGAAGAAACATTATTTTGAAGTGAGAAAAAAATTAAAAAGTGGATTTTTTAAATAAAAAAAAAGAGAAAAATGAAGTTGGTATGTAATAGAGAAGAAGAAATGAAAAAATTAGAGACAAACTGAAGAAAGCAGAAGATAAAACGATGAAAATGTCAGATTACACGACCTGGAAAAAAATTTTGAAGAAAAAAAAATAACTAAAAATAAATATTTTTTTTATAAAAATTAAAAAAATTGGGGAAAAAAATTAAAAACAAACTGAAAAAAATTGAAGAAAAAAAGGATAAGAATTTGGACTCACTGAAGCTGGAAGAAACATTATTTTGAAGCGAGAAAAAAATTAAAAAGTGGATTTTTAAAATAAAACAAAAAAAAGGAAAAATGAAGTAGGTACACAAACTAAAGAAAGCAGAAGATAAAACTTAAAAAAAATAAGAGAAAAATAGAATTTTATTTAAAAAAAAAATAAAAATTTAGGGCAAAAAATTAAAAAATTAAAGACAAACTGAAGAAAATAGAAGAAAAAATGGATAAAAACTTAGACTCACTGAAGCTGGAAGAAACATTATTTTGAAGTGATAAAAAAATTAAAAAGTGGACCAAAAAAAAGGAAAAATAAAGTAGGTCAAGAAACTAAAGAAAGCAAAAGATAAAACGTAAAAAAAATAAGAGAAAATAAATAATTTTATTTTTTAAAAATAAAAAATAAATAAGGGCAAAAAACTAAAGAACATAGAAGAGAAAAAGATGAAAATGTGGACTTACCGGAAGAATTGTAGCGAGTTTCCGGGATGTAGCAGCAGATTAGAGCATCCCACAATCGCTTGTTCGCATTGCCCACTTCTAATAGCCTTGAAGGCATGTTCTAGTGCATTTCCGGAGCTAGAACATGCCGTATCGACAATAAACGACGGTCCTTTCAACTTGAGATAATAACTGATCCTTTGTGCAAGCAACGACCGGAGATATCCGGTGATTCCGTACCGTTCCGGCTCCGTAATACTAGTCAAAGTCCGGTTTTCCATATCCGACCAAGAGGCACTAATAAAAACTCCGGTTTTGGTACCTTCCAACTCCGATGGGTTAAAACCAGCGTCAAAAATCGCCTCAATCGCCGACTCAAGTACCATCCGGATCATGGGATCCATGGTATTGGCTTGCCGGAAGTGCAATCCGAAAAATCCGGTATCGAATTTATCAATATCGAGGATTTTGGCGGTGCGTTGGGGGATTTCCTTGTGGTCAAGTTTCCATCTCCGGTCGTCGTCACTGACCATTTCCACTTTCCGGAAGAGGTTGTCCCGGAAGTGGTGGAGGTTGTGCGAGTCCGGGAGACGCCCGGACATTCCGGTGACGACGACTTCCTCCCCATTTGGGGGTTGGGATAACCAGCGACTGAATTTGAAGTTGGGTTCACTCATTCGCGACATTTTTCACACTGGTCAAGGGGGGTTTGGGATATTTATTGGTTAGGGGGGAGAGTAGTGGGGGTGTTTTTTCCGGTATGAAGACGTCAACAATGGGTCAATTATCGACGACAAAAATTATCAATAATCAATTGTTCAACGACTTTAGGCATTAATAAAGATTAGCGTCCGGTTGACCTTAACATTGGGCCATTGTATGGAAAAAAAACTACGAAGAAGGACAGTGTTTTTCTTGAGTTTTTAACACATTTCTGGTTGAAAATCGAATTAATTACGATTTTTCACGTGTGGCGTTGTGCAAAAAATGGCAACATTGCTTGCAAACTTAATCACCAAGGACGAAATTGTTTGAATTTTAAGTCCTCGTAATGTTTTATTAATATTTGGAAAACATTGACCTGATAAATATTCCGAATTTAATTTCACAAATTTCCGTTCATTTGAATTAATTTCTTCTATTGATTTACAAAACAACTAGTTAGTAACATTTATTTTTATGCAAATATTAGCCAAGTCGCAAACCTTTTACATAAAAAATAATATAAAATAATTTTTGGTTTTTTTTCGACTCAAATATAATTGACACAATAATTTAACAACACTGTTATTAAATTTAAAAAAAAAACGCACTTTTAGACCTCGTGAAGTGTATTTCGATCAGTTTTTAGGTTTTCGACAAAATTTTTGTCGATTTTTAGTCAAAAATACCAAAAATGTAAATTCGACTATAATTTCTAAACAGTTGCGCAATCGATTTCCCGGAACATTTTACATATGTTTTCGTCGAAATATGTTTTTTAAAAAAATGTCAAAAAACGTCTAAAAAGTAATAAATATATTAATAAAAGAATAGATTTGGTAATTTAAGCGCTTTTGTTCATTAAAAAAACAGCAAAATTAAAATTTAGTGTGACCTTTGGCTTAATTTTAGGCCAATTTTGACTTTCATTTTTAAAAAGTTTTGTTCAAAGTAAGTACCTAATGTAACTCATTTTTTTAATTAAAATTTGCCGATTTGTTACAAAAATAATTAGAAAACTTTGTCGTGTTAATAATTTGGGCCATTTTGTCAATTTTTGAAAACTAAACATAAAAATATAGTTATAGTGTGACACCTCGTTCCACACTGAAATTTACTGATAAGAGCAATGCTGATAAAATTCCAATTCCACTATTATTTTAAACTATTGCGCAGTCGATTTCCCGGACTATTTTACTTATTTTTTCGTCAAAATATTATCTTTGAGGTACAGTTTTGTCGCAATTTACAAAATAAAAAGAGTAAAAATTTGTGAAATTGTGAAGTTTTTTCAAAGCCAATAAAGGAAACAAATTTAAATTTAAAAATAGAGTCTTGATTTTTTTATCACTAAAACGATTTATAATTTCACACTTTTCAAGCAAAAAGTACTAAACGGGGAAAAAATATAAATTTTCCAAAGGCAATTGAGAAAACAAATTCAAATTTATCTTTCTTTGGAATCATATCAAAACTTGAGTCTGTATTTTTTTTGAAGCGCACTGAGACAAAAATTGACGAAATAATCCCTAATCTAACTTTAATTTTTTTATTTCCAATTGGAAAAATTAATTTGAATTTATTATATTTGCGTCTTTATCAAAACAAAAAAATTGAATTAAAACAGATTTTTATTGTGAGGTTTTTGCAAAATCTTGAATTTGATTGGTTGGATACATTAGTTAATTTATTGGTCCAATTGTAAGGGCCAATGATAATCATTTCCCATTCACGTAATTACCACTAAGGTGAGAACAAACCGGTTTTTATTTCTTATTGGCCAAAATCCGACAAAAACCTAGCAACGATAAGTAACTACACCCATTTAAAAATCCTGAATTCTCAATCGAATTTTTATAGCAAATCAGCGTTTAGTGTGACTTATCTTACTTTAATTGGATCTAATTTTGCACAGTGGGTGGAGCCAACCCCAAAACCAATCTGCACTTTCGATTATTACACCAATAAAAAGTAAAAAATTATTCAATGCGTTAAACTTGAATGTGATTGTTCGATTGTTAGCCAATCAATTACGACTTTTAAAATCAACCAATCAGAACAAGTTTTAGATTTTTCGACAATTTTTGTTTCAAAAGTCGCCTTCTTTGATTTCATTGTTAATATAAAAAAAATTTAAGAATAAACGTTAATTAATTTTCTTTACTGTACTGATTTTGTGTTTTTTTTTATTTCAGTAGGTCCATTCTAGGAAAAAGAGGGAATTTGCTTCAAAAAGTAACCAATTTGATATTGAAAACATTTTGTTTCCAAAATTCATCAATTTTGTTAAAAAAAATGGAAATTCCCCGCCACTGGTGTCACTTTCATTGCTATGACAACTCGTATCTTTAGATGTTTAATCATCATGGTTACCAACGTTTCCATAGCAACAAATATAAATTTAATGGCATGTGCGACTCGTCAAGGATGGGAATGAAAAACAAGACTCATTTTAAAATTTTATTATCACTAAACTGACACCACAATTTTGACAATTTAAAAGTCTAGTGCAAAAAATTGACTAACATCATTGGCCAATTCTTTTTGTTCCAACATCGAGATGTGATTTCCATTGATTGTCATCGCTTCGACTTTATTTTGGCAAAATTCCGATAATTTATAATCTTCATCCAAGTTGGCTATTGTGACAGGTGGATGTTCAGCTTTGTACAATTTGATCGTCGATTGTAATTTTAGCCCACTTGATTTGTAATCTAAAACGGTTCGAAATCGTTCACGTAATGTGAAAGCGGCTTGTTTGTCCATTTTTTGTAAATTGGGTAAATCCCCGGGGACGAAAGTACGCACCGTTTCGATTCGGTCGTCAAAAGTTGGACAATTTAACAATTTTTCTTTATTTTTTACGATGAGATCGAGGGGGAGGAAAATTGCGAGGATGTTAACAAGGATCATGGTTTCGAATTCGGCGGGGGTTTCCCCGGGAATGTAGTGCTGGAGGAGGGATTTGGTGTAGTGGGGGGAACCGTCAATGGCGACAATGGTTCCGGTGTAGTGTTTGGCTTCGAGGCGCGAGGCGAGCTCCAGAGCCACAATCACACCGAAAGAGTACCCAATCAAGAAGAATTTCCCTTCTGTGATGTACTTCTCAATTTTCTGAAATTAAAAATAAATTGAAATTTTTGGTACCAAATTTAGAATTTAGAACATTTTGACTTTTTTTTGAAAAATAAACATCAAAATAAAGTTACAGTGTGACCCCTCGTTCCACACTGAAATTAACTGATAAGTTTAATTCTGTTAAAATTTTAAACTTTTGTTTAAAAAATTGTGTCCAAAGTAAATGATGTAACTGTTTTTTAATTAAAATTTGCCAATTTATTTAAAAATTTAATTAAAAAAATTGTCGCATTAAAAAGTTGCGCCATTTTGACTAATTTTGAAAATAAAACATAGAGTGACCCCTCGTTTCACACTGAAATTTACTGATAAGTGCAATGCTATTAAATTTGTAAACTTTTGGTTTAATTTTAAACCATTTTTGAATTTTATTTTGAAAAATAAGTAATGTAGCTCATTTTTTAAGTAAAATTTGCCGAGTTGTTAATAAAATTATTAAAAAAATATAAGCTATTTTGACTATTTTGGAAAATCAAAATTAAACATCAAAATAAAGTTACATTCCCCCACTGAAATTTACTGATAATAAGTGCAATGCTGTTAAAATTTTAAACTTTTGGTTTAATTTTAAGCCAATTTTTGACTTTTATTTTTTTAAATTTGTGTTCAAAATAAGTAATAGGTATAACTCAATTTTTTCAATTAAAATTTGCAGATTTGTTAAAAAAATTATTTAAAAAAATTGTGGTCTTAATTTAAGCCATTTTGACTATTTTGGAAAATTAAACATCAAAAAAAAGTTACAGTGTGACCCAACTTTCTACACCGAAATTCAATAATAATAAAAACAAAACCGTTGAAATTTTAAATTTTTAGTTCATTTTTGGCCAATTTTGACTTTTATTTTAAAAACTTTGTGTTCAAAGTAAATGATGTAACCGTTTTGTTAATTAAAATTTGCCAATTTGTAATAAAAAAGTATTTAAAAAAATGTCATGGTAATATTTTGAGACATTTTGACTATTTTTGAAAATTGAACACCAAAATAAAGCTGTAGTGTGACCCTTCGTTCCACACTGAAATTTACTGAGAAGTTTAATGCTGTTAAAATTTTAAATTTTTGGCTTCATTTTGGGCCAATTTAACTTTTATTTTGAAAAATTTGTCTTTAAAATAACCAATCTGACTAACTTTTCTAATTAATTTGCCGAATTGTTAAAAAATATAAAAAAATGTGGTAATAATTTAACCCATTTTGACTATTTTTGAAAATTTAACATCAAAATAAAGATATAGTGTGACCCATCTTTCTGAAATTAAAAATAAATTGAAATTTTTGGTACCAAATTCACTCACTGGAAGGATATTTTCGGCAACTTCCGGAATGGAAACTTCCGGTTTTTGGTACGCGTATTGCACCCCGAAAACCCTCGCTTTCAAGTTTTTGACTAAAGGTTCCAACAATTTCAAAACACCTTCAACTCCTGGTAAAACAAAAATTGTGGGTACTTGATCCTGATCACTAGCCCCACTTTCCATTTTAATAATTTCTTGATCAAACTCTCCATCTGGAATGAATTGGATGATGGTATTTGAGCCTTGTTCCATTTTTTGTTTGCTTTTCTCGTCGTGGATTGACGTTCTTTGAGCCTCTAATTCAATTAATCTGAAATTTTTTTTTTGGTTATGGGTGATTCAAGAGTTTTGGATACTTCACTTGGCAAAAGTCATAGTTCTGAGATCTTTCGGTGTGACATAAATCTCGAAATCTTTTTCTAAGACTTGCATTACTTCGTTGCCCATCATTGAGTCCATTCCGAGTTCAGAAAGGGATGATTGTTGACTCACAGTTTTAATATCTTTGATTCCTAGAAGAGTGGCAACGACATCGACTGCACTCTCACCCCCGATTCTCTTATCGCGTTTTTCTGCCACCACCATTGAGGACACTATTGGTTCCTCTTGGTTCAATAATCGGTCCAAGACATTGAGACAGCTTGAAATTTTCTGTTGAAGAGTACCACCGATCACTAATTCCTTGTTATCTTTCTGCATTTTTGCAACTAAACCGACCTAAAACTTGATTTAGATGAATTCAGAAAAGGGGAAACTCACATCTCCGATTGCTCCCCATTGGATGGCCAAAGCGGGGAACCCCTCACTTTTGCGTTTTTCACAAATTCGTTCCATGATCGAGTTGGCCATGCCATAATTKGTTTGTCCGATGTTTCCACGTCCGCATGAAACGGATGAAAAAACTACAAAATGTCGCAAATTTGGACACAAATCTCGTGAAACTTCGTCCAAATATTTCGTGGCGAAAGCTTTGGGTGTTAGAGAAATCCTGAAAGATTCTTCAGTTTGATTTTCAAAAAGTTCGTCTTTCAGGATAACTGCAAGGTTGAAAATTGCGTCAACAACACCCAATTTTGACGCTTCTTCAATTAAATTGACGCAATCTTCTTTTGAAGAAATTGMGATTGTGGAAATGTGGATACGAGCACCGTATGATTGCCAGATTCTAGATTGGGATTAATTAATTAATTAATTTTGGGTTTTTAATTGGATTACTTGATTCGTTGMGTTTGATAGCCGGTTTGYATGCCGGTCCTGGATGTCAATAGGAGGTTTCGGGCCCCTCTCAAGACCAACCAATCGGCGAGTTCTAAACCAAAGCCCCCCAAACCACCAAGAATTATGTAACTTTTCTTCGGATCAGCCCAGAATCTTTAATTAAAAGTGGAAACAATTAAATGAAATCGCTGAAAAAATAATTTTGGTAATTTAAGTCCTTTTGTTCATTAAAAAAACAGCAAAATTAAAATTTAGTGTGACCTTTGGCCAATTTTGACTTTCATTTTTAAAAAGTTTTGTTCAAAGTAAGTACCTAATGTAACTAATTTTTTTAATTAAAATTAGCCGATTTGTTTAAAAAAATTGATAAAAAAAATTGTTGGGGTAATAATTTGGGCCATTTTGACTATTTTTGAAAATAAAACACCAAAATAAAGTTATAGAGTGACCCCTCGTCCCACACTGAAATTTACTAATAATAAGTGCAATGTTGTTGAAATTTTAAACTTTTGGTTTAATTTCAAGCCAATTTTTGTTATTAATTTTTTTAAATGTGTGTTCAAAATAAGTAATATAGCTCAATTTTTTTAATTAAAATTTGCAGATTTGTTAAAAAAATTATTAAAAAATAATTGTGGTCATAATTTAAGCCATTTTGACTATTTTGGGAAATTAAACATGAAAAAAAAGTTAGTGTGACCCAACTTTCTACACCGAAATTCAATAATAATAAAAACAACACCGTTGAAATTTTAAGTTTTTGGCTTAATTTTAGGCCAATTTTACCTTTTATTTTGAAAAAGTTTTGTTCAAATCATGTGATGTGACTCACTTTTTTAAGTAAAATTTGCCGATTTGTTAAAAAAAAATATTAAACAAAAATAGCGTGGTAATAATTTGGGCCATTTTGACTGTTTTTGAAAATAAAAAATCAAAATAAAGTTATAGTGTGACCCATCTTTCCACATTGAAATTTACTGATAAGAGCAACACTGTTAAAATTTTAAATTTTTGTCCAAATTTTAAACCAATTTTGACTTTTATTTAAAAAATCTAGTAAAATATTTATTTAAAAAATCGAAAATAGAGTTACAGTGTGACCCATCTTTACCAACACGGTCGAATTTTGGACTTTTTTGTCACTTTTTGAAAAAATTATTACTTGGGTAAACACTTGATTGAAGTTTCCTCTTGATTTTCTCCCCTAATCTTGACTAAAACTTTCCCGATGTGTTTCCCAGTCATCATATACCGGAAGGCGGCCTCAATACTGTCACTTTCGAAAACCGTCCTCGGAATCGGTTTAACATAACCTTTCCTAATCCCTTCTTCAACCATTCGGTTAAGTTTCATCTTATCTTCCGCTGATTCCTTAAACAGTGTGTCAACCATAATCCCATGATAACTGGCCCCTTTCTCCAGTAGTAATAAATCAATGAAATTATTATTAATCAAATCGAATTTTCCAATTTCCATAAATTTCCCACCTCGAGCCAAACACCTCACCGAAGCTCTCAACTTCTCCTCAGTCAACGAATTTAAAACAATATCAACACCGCGACCTCTAGTGTGTGTTTTAATCATTTCTTCAAATGATAAGTCACGTGAGTTCCCGATGTGGTTCTCTGAAGTACCAAATTAGTCAATTTTAATTAAAAAACAAACAAGGGTACCAGGAATCTCCGGATAGTTTTTTCGAAGAAAATCGCGTTTTTCCTTGGTACCAACTGTGACGTAGATGGTACAACCATGGGCAAGGGTTACATTCAAGGCCGCAAGTCCAATACCACCAGTACCCGAATGGATTAGAATCGAGGTACCGGGTTTTAAATTTGAACGCTGAAAAACAAAATTAGTGATGGTACCAAAATTTGGTTCGGTGGTACCATTAATAGACCGTAAATGACCGTACTGTAGACGACTGGTACCGTAGCTGCGTCTTCAAGTGTCCATTGTGGTGGTACTCTCCAACAAAGGGGTAAATCTGGGTTGATTAAAGTACCCATAGCTCGATGGTCTGTCATTCCCATGATTCTGGTACCATTAGAATCGCGTCCACTGTATTCAAGTCCTTCAATTGAGTCTTGTTTTATCCGTTCCATGGCCAATACGATACGACCAGTTGCTGTCATAATGTCCTTGAAATTGATAGCACAATAGTTGGCACTGACACATGGGTCAGTTTTTGATAATGGTCCTTCCACCCATCGCAAACTTGATAAATCCCCACGTGATAATAAACTGACAAATGCATGGTCTTTGGTACTTTCCACCGCATTTGGTAAGTGTAAATGTCGGTAAGTCCCCCAATTTTGGTTCTTGTAAACATTAAACGCCATGTTTTTGGCCATTTGTTGGTCCAGTTTTGGTACCACTTCGTCCATTATGGAAAAACAAGTGATTTTGCCCCCGCCTGGTTCCTTCCGTAGGCAATTGACAAGACCTAAAATGCCCTCAAGGGCCCCCTTTTCACTGTAAAGTACCACTCGAGAGTCAGTTTTCAACTGTTCTTTCACTAGTGGTACCCAATCGAAGTTATCAGAGGTCACTTGGATTAATTTTGGGTCACAATTCGGTTCGGTTTTCTTGAATAAAATTATTTTCTCGTTTGGGGTCACAAACTGTGTCAGAATCGTGATTTTCTCACAATTTTCCGGGTCAAAATCCCGGTTTTCGCGACTCAAACCAAAACCGTTTTGGCTCAAAGCACTCAAAACTTGGTTCAAAAGAGTCGCTCTTTGGAATAGTTTCGTGGCGACGACTAGGAGAAGATTGCTAGTGGAGGATAAAGTGGTGGCTTCGATTTTCACCCCTGGGATGTTTTCCAGGGGGTTTTTGGACGAAATTGTCAATTTTGGGTGGATTAGGGGGATGTCCTCAAGGGCGTTGAACAGCAAGGGCATCACGAGGGGCGTTTCGGGGGCGGAAAACTCGTCGAGGATTTCCAAAGCTGTGAAGTTTTTCTCGAGACTTTCGTCGAGGATGATTTGGGTGTTGACTCGGATTGATTGGGGCAAGTCGAGGGTGGTTTCGTTGGGGATGAAAATGCTCTTTTCTAAAACCGGCTCGAGGAGGGGCTTGCGTTTGGAGATGGCGTTGGCTTGGAGACCCAAAATCTCAATACCCCCACATCTGAAACAAAAATTTTGGGCCGTTTTGACTGAAAATAAAATAATAAAAGAGCGAAATAAGGGTATAGTGTGACCCCTCGTTTCACACTGAAATTTACCGATTAGTTTAACAGTGTCAAAATTTTCCATTTTTGATTATATTTTAAGCCGTTTCAATAAGTTTTTTTTTTAATTGCATAAGCTAATATTAATATTTGTAAAGCCATTTTGACTTTTTTTGAAAACTAAACTCCAAAATTAAGTTATAGTGTGACCCCTCGTTCCACACTGAAATTTACCGATCAATCAAGTAGTAACAAAATTTTTAACTTTTGATTATATTTTAAGCCGTTTTACTAATTTTTTTGGAAAAAAAATTGTACATTGTACTAAAAATAAGCTACGTTGCTTATTTTGATACCAAAATTTCAAAATTATATTAAAAAAAAACTATTAAAAAAATTTTTAAAGCCATTTTAACTTTTTTTGAAAACTAAACATTAAAATAAGGGTATAGTGTGACCCCTCGTTCCACACTAAAATTTACTCATTGGTGAAATAGTGCCAAAATTTTAAACTTTTGATTATATTTTAAGCCGTTTTGCCAAGTTGTAAAAAAATGGCAAATTGTACTAAAAATAAGCTACTTAACTTAATTTTTATATCAAAATTTTAAAATTATATTAAAAAATTATTAAAAATTATAATTTTTTTAGGACACTGACTTTTTTTGAAAACTAAACATTAAAATAAATGTTAAGTGTGACCCCTCGTTCCACACTGCAATTTTCCCATTAGTTAAATAGTGCCAAAATTTTAAACTTTTGATTATATTTTAAGCCGTTTTGCCAAGTTTAAAAAAAGGCAAATTGTACTAAAAATAAGCTACTTAACTTAACTTTTATATCAAAATTTTAAAATTATATTGAAAAATTATTAAAAATTATAATTTTTTTAGGACATTTTGACTTT